AACATGAAGAAGGAAGTTTATAAGCAGACTGATGAACTAGACACTGTACCACAAAAGCGAAAAACATGCTCTGGTTTCAAGGACTGTATAAGCAACAAATAAATAAACTGCTAATTTAGATGCATTCCTCACTAATTTGTAGAAGTTTCTATGTTTTCCAATTTTTTTTTTTTGTGGTAGTAGTTTCCAAAGTCAGGGTGATTTGTGAGCAGTTCAGTAGTAAAGTGTGTAGCAATACCAGTGCAGGTGGCTTACTACTAATAGATAATGGACAATTGCTAAAGACACAATGTGCTGAAATTAAGCCATAATTTAATTGTAAACAGGTGGCCCTAGTCTCCGTTTTGCTTCTACTGACCATGGTTTGAAAGCTCCTTGAGAAAAGAAAAATATGGAAAAGGAACAGGCTCTGTCTCATGGCTAAGATAAACAATGGTAAATACACAAGGAAATATCTGAATTTGCTGCTTTTCATTTCTTTTTTTGTCCCTCTAAGGTAAAAAAAACAAATTGGGCTGCCTTTAACTTCAAGTTGAAAACTCAGTATCCTGTCTTTAGTAGTTATGATGGTTCTATATCACAGAAGTTTTCCAAGTAGACTGGCTGTGAAAGTTCACAAATTAGCTTTAGACTCCTACAGTGTCAGGGGGAAATGCTGCAGTCTGCTTATTATGAAGAAAAGAGATTTCTCCAGCTTTAGCATCCCTACCTTGGCTCCCAGTCCATTACTGAACCCAATATAAGTTGACTTTGATTCTTTTTAAAGTATTAAAAAGACTCACACCTACATATATTGTCCATAAGCTTTGTCTACATGCTCTTGCAAGATCTCTAAGGTCAGCTTTCCAATTACCAGTTAACATGCTCTTGGCTTAAAGGAGATTATTGTTATGCCTTTGTGGTGGTAAGACTTCAGAATAGTCTACCAGCTGACATCATCCAAACATCTGTGGCTGATTTTATATCCAAGCTTAAAACATATTTGTATTGATTGGCTTTTAGTAACTGTTGACTGTGGTGGGCTGATTGAGGACTGTGTGTGTCTTTCACTGGTAGAGTCAATGTGTCCTTCATGTATAAATGAAACTGCTGCAAATGGAGAACTGATGGTGGGACAAACTTGTAAGGTGTAAAGCACCTAGCTTTTATTCCTTATCGCAATGACACAATTAGGATTATACAATGTCAGGGTATAGTTTACATCCATCAGCCAGACAGCTGTTTGTTATGGGTTGCATGGGTAATCTACAGGAAATGTATGATTAGTGCTAGATAGAAGACTAATTATATTAATGATCCATAAAGAAGGTTCTTCTTCACTTTACTGCTGGATGTGGATCCAGGGAATGCTGCAGTGACCAGCTGAATGAACAAAGAAAAGCAGGAACTAATGAACAGATGAACGGATGAACAGACAAAGAAATGAACAGACAAACAATGAACAAACGAGCAAACAAACTGAAAAAAAGGTTGATAGACAGAAGAGACAGTCTGACAGTTATGCTAGTTAAGTTAGCTTTTGCTTGGTCTTTGCTTTTTCTCTGTAAATTTTTCTGACTCGAACAGAGAGACCATAGGGAAAGATGTTTTTGTTAAAGTGTGTGGGGGAGGAGCTACATATGCCTTGTGATTGGTGAGAGTAGAGCTTACATAAGTACTACCTAGGATCAGGACTACCCACTATACAATGAAAGAGGTTTTGGTAATTGGCCATTTAATGGACATTGGAAAGTTATTCACAGGACATACTTATATATATATATATATTATATGCACACAGGAGCAATTACATCATATTATACCACAGTGTCCTTCACAAATATTGTCCACCCGGGTAAACAGGAGTAAAACAGACTGTAAAAACAATTGTTCTTGCTTATCCCTTTGATATTTCACTCAAACTATCAACAAAAATCTAACCTTTGAAGTACAATAATTGAGAAATTCATCATGAAATTATTGTTTTTCTCAAATCTGTGTGTGCCACAATTGTTGGCACCCCTACAAATTCTTATATGTACCTGAAGTATCTTCTCATTCCTTTTTTGTGTTTTAAAGTTCACCTGAGCAATAAGGAACACTTAAATGGTTAGCTATTACTTCCTGTTTCACAGGGGTATAAATATGAGGTGACACACAGGCTAAATTCCTCTAGTCATCCGTCACTATGAGAAAGACCAGAGAACACAGCAATGATGTACAACAAAAGGAGTTGAACAAATCAGAAAGTGGTTACAAGAAAATATCTAAACAGTTAAACATGCCCATTTCCACTATCAGGGCAATAATTAAGAAGTTTAAAGCAACTAGAGATGTTATCTAATGTTATCTGGAGATGTTATCTTATCTTATATAATATCTATCTTGACCCCACACACAGTGAGGAGGATGGTTCGAGTGGACACAGAATCTTAAAGGATCACAGCTGGGGAATCACAGACAGTAGTTATGTCTTAGGGTCAGAATGTTTCCCAAATTACAATCATACAGCACTAATATAACCACAAGTTGTTTGGGGGGCGTTGCCAGAAGAAAGTTTCTGCTGTCGATGATCAACAAACTCCTATAGCACCTATACAGACATTACTGGAACTTTCAGTGGGACCGGTTTCTATGGTAAGATGACACCAAAATAGAGCGTTTTTTTTTCTGCAAACACCAGTGGTGAGTTTGGCATAGACACTAAGATAGCCATATAGAAAAGCACCTCATCCCCACTGTAAGGTCTGGAGGTGGAACTGTGGTGTTGTGAGGCTGTTTTTTTTCCAAAGGCCCTGAACAACTTGTTCAGATACATGGCTTCATGGAGTCCATAAAGTACAAGCAGATATTAATTTCCAAACCTGACCGCCTCAGCCAGGAAGCTTAAACTCTGCCATATTTGGATATTCCAGTAGGACAATTGAAAGCACACCTCAAAGGCAACACAAAAATGGTCCACAAGCATTGACCTGGGAATCTGAAGGATCTGGAGAAGTTCTGTATGGAGAAATGATCTCAGATTCCATGTGGTGTGTTCTCCAGTCTCATAAAGTATTATAGGAGAAGACTCTGAGTTGTTATCGTTGCAAAGGGAGACTGAGCAAGGTATTGAATGAAGTGGTGCCAACAATTGTGGCACCTATAGATTTTTAATTATTGTACTTGTGTCAATATGCAATAAATGCAATCGCCAACTCTACTGTCATGTCATTTTTCTTAAAAATTTTAAATCTTGGCCTGCTTGTCAACAAACTTCATCTAAACCGCTTATCCTTCTGGGTCGCGGTGGGGTGCTGGAGCCTATCCCAGCTGTCATTGGGCGGAAGACAACAATCTTCATATAAATTTTAATTTTGTCATGATATATTTTTTATGCTATTCTCAAGTAAACTGTATAACACTACATCATTCGTGAATGTATGGACTGAATCACATTTGGCTAATAAGTATGCTGAGCTTGCTACAGCAAAGACTTCTATAAGTTCCTAGTAACAAGATGTAATCAAGTCCTCGGGACACACACACACACACACACACACACACACACACACACACACAACACATACATACGCGCGCACACACTCAGAATTCCACTCACCTGCTGCTCTTCAGATTCTGTACAGGAAGCCACGCGCTACATCAGCATGTTAATAGCCAGATGTTTACAGCTGCTCCTCCCCTAATGAATTGCTGCCACTGTGTATCAAAGTCTGTACCCAGTGATGTCACACTGAAGCCTGCAGTAGCCCTCCTCCTGTGGTCTCAAAGTCATTCAGTAACTGTGTGCTTGTGCATACTCTGCGGAGACCTGTGTGTGCTAGCTATCCACTAGTCATCTGCAGTGATCATTCCTCCACCACACATGCACAGTCTGCTTCTCCCTCCCTCTCTTTCTCCATCTCCCCTCCCTGTGTCTCTTTCTCTCGCTCTGTCTACTCAGAGGATTCACTCAATACTGCAGCAAGTTGTTGATCTAAGGAGGTTGAGTTAGCATTCGGGTATTAGATTGTCTTCCTGTTGCCTAAACTAATGTTTCCCAACTCCAGTCCTGGAGGCCCACCTGTGTACAGTTTTGCCTGAGGAAAAAGAGGCAACCCTCTAACAAACTAAATTATGTGTGAGATAAAGTTAAGGTTTACCTACTTTTTATAAGAGGACAAAACAATTTAAGAATTTCTCTGATGGTGACCATGGTAACCAGTACTCTGATGGGGACAGTGACAAGTGATGTCTCTCTTGAACAATATTAACCCACCTGTTCACTACCCATAGGTATCTTTCCACTCCTTTCCAGTTCAATTCCCTGTACTAATATCATGTAGTACCTTCTCAATATACAGTAGTTAATTGGAGTCATTAGATTATTTTTTTTTCAGCTACTGTCACTACTGATCATGTAGTACTTACACCTATTCCATGTAATATGCAATTATATTTAGTATTCAGCTATAGAATATATGATACATTTAGATTTAGTATTTAGCATGTAATATATAGAATGTTTCATGCATTTATATATAGTATTGGGTATGCACTTCTGCATGTATAACAAGTATGTAAGTAAAGGCCTTCTTGCTTAGAGTTCTTATATCTACCTTGTAAGAGATCAATTGCCTTAATAAACCTTTGTTATGGTGGTGCACTCTAGATGTGTCCTTACACCCACCTTGTTGGTACACCTTGTAGGTGCACAGTTATAACCTGGAAAGACAAATTTTGGATGCTGGCCTTAGATCTGAATGGACCTTTGTCTATTGTTATTGTTTTTCTGATGCATTCTTAAGCAGTATTTAGTGAACTAACCCAACTGGGACAAAATCTTTTGCACATTTTAGCATTTTTCTTGTTCCAAGACTCAACTCACCAGCAAATCAACAAGACTTTCAAGCTGAACTATACAGGGCAGAGGTACTCCCGGACCAGGACGGAGATACCCGTCTCTAGTGAATGTGTAGCACTTTTGGTGCCACCTTGTGGCCTGTTATACAGTTGCAGGTTCATACAAAATGGTCAAAAACTAAAGAAGGTTAAGCAATTTGTTTATTTTTAAAGGAATATTTAACAAACATCATACAAATCAACATCATCATACAGAGTATATAAAGTAGGTGTGCACCAGGGTTCATATATCATTTAACACTGCAGTAAATATCAAATATGGAAGCCATTATTGTGATGAGAAATGGTACATGAGTGTTGGATGTGAAAAAACTGCCCTACTGCAGCTGCTTCTCTTTGGAGCAATATTGCTGCTATCCCAGAAAGCTCAGGGGCTGGAATCAAGAGGTATAATGTTATATTTCTTAACTATTTACAGTTAAAGAGTAAGTGTTAAAGTGTGCGGGTTAGTAGCCTAGTTTACAGAAAGCATCACAGAGTTAAGATCACACTACAGTTTTCTATGATTCTCTGTATGATTTTATGATAACCGTTTAATAATAAATCCTTTAGGAAACTCACTCTTAAAGGGGAGCAAACAATTGAGATGTGAACAGTCATTCAGAGTGGTTTGATGTGAAATGCTGCATTCTAAAGTAACTTATTGAGTTAGAATTTTTCACAGTGGTAGTGATAGGAACCAGACATCTGAAGAGTTTAATGCCTATAAAGCTCCCTCACAGAAAGTTATTACACAAAATGGCTATGAATACGCTGCCTGATGCCTGATGCATTGTTTTACGATAGTTTTGTGCCGTTTCAGCCTTAAACGTCTTATTTACCCATTTATTTTAATCCATTCATGGCATGGTGGTGGGGCATTGTAAGGCAAAATATTCCCCAGAAAAACATATTTTTTCATCAAGCTTACAAATAAAAACTCATGGATTGTAAATAAAATGGCTATATTTGTTCTGTAGACACTCCTATCACCACTACTGTAAACAAAATATCTGTAAAAAGTCTGTAACTTTCTCTTAAACGTACCATTTTACATCAAACCACTCTGAATGACTTTGTTTACATCTTAATCACTGATTTATGTAGAAATTTTGAAAAATCTGTGAAATTCCCCTTTAAACCCATATACTTGTATGTTTTGATACTTCTGATACAAAGTCATGTTGAAAATCTTATATCTCTCAACATTAGTGTGTCCTAAATATACATTTTATTGCATGTATTATTAAAGACATATTTAGGTTTTCATGATGTAGAAGTCCCACATATTGTGCACGAAATTATAATTACTTTTTTATGACTTAAATCAGCAAACGTAAAAAAATAGATGGCAGTACAGTATGATATGCTGTTATGAGACACAGTGAAATAGTAGAGCAGACCAGTGTGAGTTGCATTGAATGTGCATAGAATAAGATAACTTCTTTTTTATTAAATTTATGTTAGTCCAGTTTTTTCACAAAGAGAGCACAAACGCCGGCAAAAGACATTTCATTTTTTGTACTCACTGGTTGCAATGTAATGCTAATAGCCTATTGGTACACTGCCATGCTAGCAAAGCTAAATCATTGTTAGTACCTCACTTATAATCTACCTAACATATTGTACCAAATGCTGATTATTTAGCACTTATGTTTGAATAATTGTGTGCATTGTTATGATCAGGAAACACAGTAAAACTGCACCTCCAACACTGATCCCAGAATGAAAAATACCATATACAGAGTAATTAATGCATATAATTAAAGACTGCATAGTCAGGATGTAGCATAACAGCAACACTTTTAGTCTGTTCATTTAACACATTCAGTGGTGCTTCTCCTTGCCTGTCAGCTGGGTGAAACACTGCACGCCCCAGTAGAGAGCAGAGAGAGACACAAAAACCTGGATGGAAAAAAAAAATGATGTTATATCTTTATATAAAACATACCACAATGCTATTACAATCACGTCTTCATATTTCTGCAGTAAAAGAGTGATGTAAGACGAACACAACAGTAAACCTGTTGGGAATAAAAGGAAGAAGCCTAAAATATACTTTTGTCAAATCTGTGAACTTTATCTTAGACATTAAAGTTCAAAACTTGGTCAGAGGAATAAGTACTATAGGTGTAAAGTGTGGGCTTGACCACAAATCTATTAAACCACAGCGTTACAATCGCATGCTAAAGGAGGCTATTGAAAGGGGAAAAAACATTACAAAAGGTTAAGCTCCAGGCCAAAGAATCTCCCATGATGCACTAGCTCTGTGTCAGGGGGTTAACGGCACTGGTCGCTGAGGAATGGAGCCAAGAGGTTCTGCCAAAAAGTGTTCCCGGGCGGAACCGCTGCTCCTCCCCAGTGTTCTGGACCATAAACTGCATCCGCGTTCTTAACTCTGGCCAAGAGCGAGCCCTGTCCATCACAGCCCTTTCTCTGATGGGAAAGAATGAGTTTCCTCAAGAGCTCCACAGCTGTTTCCCTCTGAGAGAATGAGAGACAGAGACGCAGGACCTGGAATGTCCCTGTGATCCCTGACCCCTCGCTACCTGAAACCGCCCATCGCTGCCTTAAGATTAAAATGATTTTTGAAAAGCCACCTCAGATTTAGAGTGAGAAAAAATAGTTTCAAACTACTTTCCCCAGTGGGTCTGTTATCTAGTATAAAATGACTTTACAAATGTTAGCCAAATTGAAAACCTAGTTTTTATGGTTAAAGACAAAAATGATCGCAATTGCTTTAAACACTGTATTTCGTGTTGCAGCTAAATGAAGTGGTGCTCATTATGCCTATCACCAAAAATAGGACTTGTACATAGGTGTAAGTTCTGTAAGGAGTAGGGGGTTACAACTGAAATTTCAGACTGAAGTTCAACCATCTGGCACGTCATACTAAGTTATGGGGCTGCTATGTGTAACAGTTTGCCTTTTGATGTGTTTAGCATATATTTTCACATTACTATATAAATAATACATTCAATTAAAAGAGTTTGGTGTGCAGTAGCCTACACCATAAGAGACTGCATAGACTTTGATCAGTAAATATCACTAAATCTTAGTCTGAGACTAACATTAGTTAGCATTTTATCAGCAGTGCATGTGGTTGTGATGGTGCTAATAGTTGAAGTACCTTTAAAACTAGTATACCTGACTGGCTGTAATATTATTTCCTCAACTCTACCTATTATAGAGCAATCAGAAGAGGTGCTAAAGGAAGATAACAGGTTTTATTTTGAGGGCACAAGTATTTGCCATATGGCTAGTGGCCTAAATGAGCTTATTATTGTGTTAGTTAAGACTGCACCTATGATCCACTTGCTACTAGCTAATACTATGCTTACTAAAGGTACTAAACTTCTGGGGGAAGAAGGGTGATGTTGGATCTGCATTAATGTTAAATTTATGTCAGTTTGTTTTCTTGTGGTAGGCATACAGAAAAATAAAGGAGAGAAATGCAAGATGCAGATGGTGACAGACAGACATGAGGTGAGAATATTGCTATATTATAGGCTGGGAGAACAGCAATAAGTGGGGTATTGTAAGTATTTTCAGTAAGTATTTTGATCTGTTTTCCCTGTTTCCCTAAAAAATGGGATGCTGTGCAAAATGTAAATAAAATGCAAACAGAAAAATGTATTCCCGTTTTGAATTTGATGCCAACAACACATTCCAAAAAAGTTGGGACGGGGCATGTTTACCACTGTGTTGCATCATCTCTTCTTTTAACAACACTTTATAAGCATTTGGGAACTGAGGAGACCAATTGCTGTAGTTTTGAAAGTGAAATATTTTCCTGTTCTTGCTTGATATAAGATTTCAGCTGCTCAACAATTTCATAATGCATCAAATGTTTTCAGTGAGTGACAGGTCTGGACAGCAGGCAGGCCAGTTTAACACCCAGACTCTTTTACTGTGCCCCCAGACTCTTCTACTGCAGAGCCATGTTATTGTAATAAATGCAGAATGTGGCTTGGTATTGTCTTGCTGAAATAAGAAATATGTTGCTCCAAAACCTATATATATCTGTGGCGTCCGCCCGGATCGAACGTGAGGCTAATTAACGTGGCCTCGGTGCAAGACACTCGGAGTGTTCCTCTCTCCACTGTTCTCGTCAGGCTTCGTCCCCGCTCAGAGCTGGGCCCCGCCTTCCTGCCGCGGCTCTCGCAGCCGCCATTGGGGCCTGGTGGACGTGCGCACGCCACAATATCGTTCAGCATTAATGGACATGTGCACTAATATTATGTACTGTAGATGATAAAATCCACAAGTTCTTTGCTATTTTACGTCTTCTTGCTGGCACTATTTTTATTGCACTATTTGCCCACATAGTCTTTCACAGAGTGGTGATCCCCTCCCCATCTTTAATTCTGAAAGACTCAGCCTCTCTGGGATGCTTGTTTTATCCTCAATAATCTTACTGACTTATTATCAACTAACCTGATTAGTTGTAACATATTTCACCAGGTCCTTTTTTTACCATTACACAACTTTACCAGTCTTTTGTTGTTCCTGTCCCAACTTTTTTGCTCGCATCAAATTCAAAATGGGCAGATATTTTTCAAAAAAACAATAAAAATTCTCAACATTTGATATGTTATCTTTGTACTATTTTCACTATAGGGAAAATCATTGCATTCAGTTTTTATTCACATTTTGCACAGTGTCCCAACTTTTTTGGAAACGAGGTTGTATTATACAGTGTTTACATATGTGAAGAGTTCTTTTTAAAAACTCACAGAATAAGAACTGAATAACTGACTATAGTTGGACTTGTCTAACAAGTGTTAATTTACCCTCTTCTACTACTTGAGAACTGGGAGTGTTCTCTAACTTTGTTAGACCAATCATTAAAACTACTGCATATTCAGGTTGGAATTCTTGTTTATATTTATGCATATTTACAAGGGCTGTTGGTACCATTTTACATTAAGACTATCCTTTTAAAATGTGTATGTATGTTTTGAAAGTAATTTATCAATTATTATTAATAAGGTCATAAACACCCTAAAAAGTATTAATAAGCAATTCTAACAGGTAAAAAACAGTAAGGGCAACAGTAAACTGTTGCTTGCCAAATACTGAGCCATTACTCTATTCTATGAAACCTCAGATCTTAATGGTTCCTGATGTTACTCTGTCTTATTCTTTCTGTCAGCTTTGTCAGATTCAATAATTCATATTCAACAGATATAACAGGTCAGTGTTGCCTTTATTATTTATGTATAACTGCATATTAACATATATTTGTAAGGTATAACCATTAATACACAAATTTTAATACACAAACACACAACACTTTATAAGAGTAGTCTTGTTGTAAAGTTGTACCAAGATGTGTAGCAGCTTTTTTAATTGGCTGCATTCTCCCGGACCCCCAAAGAAGGTCCTGTTGAACTTCTCCAGTGTTCACCCCAAAGTTATGCCTTGTCCTTGTACTAATTCATTGTATCAGTGCACCAGTTTAATTGAGTGTTGCAGCTGTTTGGCCTGTTCTTTTATGCACAACCATGTTAGAATAGCTTCTCATAGCCATGCGCTCAAACATTCATAATGATGCTGTCCATCCAAAAACACTCATTCCCAAATAAAAGACACTTGCATTATCTTCATGCCAGTAGAAACACTTACAAAACCAAATATAATACACCTGCAACAGCGGCAGTACACAGAGAGAGGAGGGTTAAACCGACCTCTCTAGAGCAGCTGCAGTCAGAAATGAAAACAGCACTGAAGCTGTGCTGTCAGCTCTGTGATGTAGAGCACATAATGGGAAGTTTTCCAAACTATACTGTCCATATGAACTGCCAACACATGAGAAACATGCACTGCTTACATAGGCATTTGAGTCCCACACACTCACGGAAATGCAGAGCCCTCTGCTGGATTCAGTCTCACCACATTCTTATTCCCAAGCACACTCTTAAAGCAGATGTGTTGAAAACAACACAGTCCGACATATTGATGTGTTCAGTTAAGGACAGCACATTCTGTGTTACTTTTAACACAAAATATGTTAAAACAGAAAACAATAACACATACAATGTGCTCAAACAGATAACATAGGTAAGCGTGTCTTTTTAAAGTGAAGATATGAAGATACAGATTTCCATTTCCATTAGATCAGCTGCCCATATCATCACAAAATGAACTAGCTATCAGCACTAGCCCATGAGCAAGCATTTAACATCTGGCTACAACAGCACATTCACAATGAGTCACAGCCATGGATAAAATGTAAATCTATGGCCATAACCTATTCTCACTAACATTACTACTGATTAAGTATCTGGATGGTTAAAACCAATCATGAATCCCAGAAGTAAATCAGCATCGGGTGATATCATGTTGATGAGGGACAGGAAGTAGCTATCTTGCATGGAAAACCCCATATTTTTGAGTGAGCTGGCTGGATAAGTAAAATAAGTACATGTTGTCTGCAGCATCTATATTGTCCAGTTCCAGTATTTATTTATTTATTTACGAATGCAATGTCCTTTCTGGATTTGCTCCATGGAAAATGACTAATCCTTTTAGTCTTTGGAGAGGCAAAGTTGGAATTTGCTAGAACATTCAAGTCCTATCAGTGTGTTCCACTGTTTGCTCCTCAAGCACACAGTCCTATCAGTGTGTTCCACTGTTTGCTCCTCAAGCACACAGTGGGCTTGAACTGCTGCCCCATAGTTAGTCCTTGTAGTAATTGTACTGTGCCATGGCCAGACAAGGGTTATGGCTAATCCTGAATCTATTCAGTACTGACCACTCTCCTCAGTGTCAGGGACTTGTTGAGTAGGGCCTGGCACCAGGTGACAGTTAGACATCTTTGGGCACCCATTCCCTTTTCCAGACAGACTGAGTGGTGAGTGGTGAAGTCTACTGGAGGAGGATTTTTCCAAATTGAGTATCTTTTTTGAGAGACAGACAACAAATGGATCAAAAATACCTGCATAGATTGATTAGTGAGGAAAGTCTCTGGCCCTTTGGACCATCCTGGACCAGACAGCAGCTCTGCAAAACATTTAAAATCTACTCATGGAATAGGCTGTTTCTGGATTTCCCCTTAGCTGCCACTCCTGTCAAATGTGCCTTAAGGGATAAAAGTCCTATCTAGGATCATTCCCAAGTATGTAGAGTTGGTGGTGTGCTTCAGTATAGTTACACTCAGCTGAGCCCTTATTTGGCAGCTTTTGCGCTGTAGATGTGGAATACACAGGAGAATGTTTTGGTGGTGTTAGACACTAAATTTTGCTGTACTGGTTTCAGTTTTGAAGGATCTTCAGTGAGCGCCAACTCCAGTGAATCTCTCAAGGGCCCAATTCCAGTCCTGAACGGCAGAGTCCAGAACAGCTTGGTGATTTCCCTGTTCTAACACACTTACTAAGTAAGTGATGAGTGGAATCATGAGCCAGCAAACTGTGCTGTCCCTCTAAGACACTGGAAAGTGTCTTAGAGGGACAGCACAGTTGACAGACTGCTGAACCAGCAGTCGTGGCCCACTAACTCTCATAGTGGGCCACGACTGCTGGTTCAGGTAGCTCCATGAGGTACAGGAGCGGCTGTATGGGCTAAACGAAGCCAAAGGACCTGCACTGCGCCAAATCAGCCCCACTGCACTTTGATGTAATAATGAAGGCAGCCTCCACTATGGTGTGGAGGCCTCTGTGGACACTCTGTAAATCCCTTCAATAGGATTCCTGAGAGAATGACAAAGACGGATGGCTCCTGTGGGACTTGTAATGGAAGGCCTGGACACCTGAACCTGTGCCCTGATAACATTGAAGCGTATGCGCTTATCCAAACACCTTCAGTGTAAAGTAAGTATACCCAGTCAGTTTTGGGGTTTGAACCCACCACTCTCTGGTTGCTGGCACACCTCTCTTACTGCTAGGCTATTCAAATTAATCAGATAATAAACAAAATTATCAGAAGGACTTCTAGTTATTTTTTCCAAAAATGTATTTTTGCTTTTTATGAAGTCTATGCTACTTTGTGTTTCGTTCAGTCCATTTTTATTGTTTGGTCAGAAAAAAAGCTCTGATTTGTCAATTAATCATCAAAATAATCAGTTTTAGATTGCTTGGATACTGATAGAATTGACAGTGACAGCCCTAATTCTAAATTCAAATTACTGCAAAAGGTGGAACAAATTAGAAAAGAACAGATTCCACTTTTGTGGTGCCCTCTCTGAGTGTGTCAGGTGCTATGGAAAGATAAGCATGAGGCGACCTTCATAATATTATGTTAACCTTTTCCTTTAAATGTTCTTTGTAGCAGTGTAGTTATGTTTCCCCCTTGAGAAAGGAGGTGCACAAATATTATCTTTAATCGCTGATAAAGCAGAGGATGGAAAGAACTCAGGAAGGAACATATGCTCACCTACCTAAACTCCCATGAAAGATTTTCAGCTCGGCACGATCCTGTGATCCTGATGTTTTCAGCATAGTGTACAGCTTTCTTTATGCGAAGCTTTTTTCTATGTGAAGTCTGCACTCCATGAGTCTCAGATTCACTTAGAGAAGAAGTAGATTTGATGCAGGACACACTCTTTTATTTTGAATCAAACTGTGGGCCACTATTATTATATCACCCCTACTGAGAATAAGGTTGGACAATTAATAACATAAAAATTGTGACCAATTGAGCAACTATTTTCTTAATGCAAAAGAAATCATTGATTTTGCAGCATTTACACTCAGAGTATGAGTGCCCCATTCCCCTTATTCGCTGTGACCAATGTCTATACATATTGTGCCATGTGACCTCAAGAACGCTGTGGTGTGGTTTCATGTCAGTTTCCTCCCTTTTAAATAATAGACACATAAGATATTTCAGTGCTGCATGTGCAGAATCTTCAGCCTGCTAGAAGTGAGTAAGTGAGTCACAAGCTAGGTCTATTACATGTTTTGTGTCAGAAGCTGTACCACATGTCAATTAGTTAGTTTGTTTCAAGCTATTTTGTCTCTTTTATTAACAAGGTTTATTCGTAATGTGCTATTATGCACACACTGCAAGGTATGCAAGACCATAATTTCATGAAATTATGATGTCACAAACTTTCCTACTCAGCCTATAGTAGTTTGCCCTATAAGTTCATGTTGAAGTTAAAAGGACTAATTATGGACTATAGTTGAAAACTAGTCAAACTGGCTAAACTGGCACATATATATTATTAATGTGCATTGTGCCTGTATATCTAAAACGAATAATCTTTAAACTGAATAAGCAAAAAAATAAATAAATAAATAAAATAATCTGTACAAAATCGGTGTGTCAAAAAATGGTAAGTGAGAACTGAAATTTGAATTCTAAAAAAAAAAAAATCATGATTCTTATTTAATCAAGAATCCTGAAAGACTAACTGAGAGAGTGGAACCCAGAGTGGAAAGTGATCTTGCTGAGAGCAGTTGAGGTTCATCCAAGAGACAGGTGTATTTTTTTCTAGCACTCCACTTAAATTGGTATGAGCTCACCACTCCTAGTCTGCAGAGAAGCTCCCTTAATTACTGTGAGACATGCAACGTCTGGGACGTCCCATATCCTGAACTGTGGGCCATGTGTGACATCATTTATCTGCAGTTCCATTAGGACCACATGGCTCATCAAAATGCACACATGTATGTGTAAACAAGTGAGAAAGATTGTGCTTAAGAGATGGGTGTGCCTGCGTTTGGGGGGTGTGTGACCTTGCCACCTGAGTTTATGGGCTAGCCCTGCTGCTTTAATAGGGAACTCTCTCAATAGTAAATACCAGCATGTGGTTTTAATGCTGTAATATGTCTTAAAAAAGGACTTCTACTGTACTGGCTCTGTTTTTTAGGGTTTCCCAAATGATTTTGCGGGAAATCAAAGGTGTACTTTCATTTTACTGTTACTGAAACTTTTTTAATTGTTCTCAAAAGGCTAAACTGTCAGCATAGGCAAGTTTGATTTAATGTATTAAACTGAACTTAATTTATTCCTCATATAAAACCAAAAGCATAAGACAGTTGGAAACAAACATAATCTTTAAACCAGTGTACACATGAGTTATACCTGGACACCTGCACAAAGTGAATTCACAGTTACCCATGTATATTTTGCAATTCTTGCTATTTTTTAAGAAATTCCAATGGGAAAATATAGTATATTTTTATGAATAAACAATGACACACAGTGTCAATGATGTACCTGTGGTCATTTCCATAACCTAAACATTCACTTTAGCCAAGTTCATGAGGTGCTTTACATTTAAAAAATGATAAATATGGGAGGTTTAATATTCATTTGTTTTGTTTTATGCGAATACCCGAAAAAGTACACAAATGCTATGATTAATTGAGATATCTATATATTCAGGTAAACTCCATGGTACTTGTTTCATGTGGGAAAACACCTCTTTCAACATTTAAGTAGGTATATGTAAGGAGAATAACTAAATCTAAACTGTCAGATCAAGCACACCATAAGCTGAATCAACACATTGTCCATCTCAGACCTGGCTGAATTTTTGTTAAAAATCTCTGGTCACTGCACATATGAATTCACTTGCCCCCTATACTGCATGTGGGAAACTTTCTCAGAGCTATACCCTTTTTCCTTACAGATCTGCAGGAAATAAACGTATTCAGTGGGTGTTTTAGCACCTAAGTCTACAGATGCGTGGTCACAAAGTAAAAGGAACAATTCAAGTCTCACGTGTAAATCTCATCAGCCCTTCCCAGTTAGCCGCAGACAGGGCTAATTGATTCCAGAAGTGTTGCCTTTACTTTAAGCAGGGGTGGGGAGAAAAGGAGGGATGAAGGGAAGGAGAGAAGGAGGGTTGGAGGTGGTATAGTAATGAGGGGTCAGTCGCGATCTACAGCCCCATCACAAGAGCCAGAAACACATGGCAATTTTATGGTCAATTGGGCCATGCATCTGGACTCATACATCACTGTGCTGTGTAGTGGAACCTGGTGCCAGTTCACACACATATACACACACAGAGAAACACGCTCGGCCATAATAGGCCGCTGTCACACCTGTGCGCTGATACGCTCCATCTACACTGCTTTACAACAGAACCGCACACTCACAAAACAGTCGCCTGTGCTTACCCTTCAAGCAACCTCTACTCACTTTCACCAACACTAATTAAAGCAATTTTCTGTAACAGCAACTTGTGTTTTACTCCTGCTGATCTATGTTATATGTATAAAACTGTGCCATATTCATATAAAAAGCCATACAGCCATCTGTATTGCTGTGTGTCGCAGACATGTAAGTTGAAGTTACCTCAGTGGCCAGAGCCAGTTGAGACACCACAGGGCTGACATAGCCAAACCTATAGAGGGCCATCATGATCAGACAACGCAGCGCCTCCCACACAGCAGCATTAGGCCTGTAAAAGAGGACGACATACATCTTAATTCTGTGGACCTGCTGAAGCCTAGCATGCTTTCTTTATGGTCTGGCTAATCGGAATAAACAGTGTGTTTAACCGTAACAGTGACCTTCAATCCATCTAATTACTGCCTTCAGAAATCCTTGATCAGCTGAATGGGGTGTGTTAGATTTGGGTCAGAGATTAAATCTGCAGGTAGGTAGATCTCCAGGAGGAGGATTGGTAACCACTGTTCTATGGCACTGTTGCAAATAACCCTTTGTGGAACCTTTATTTTTAAGAGTATGACTACATACATTTACAATATTCTGCATTAATGTTATTAAAAAAATACATGTTCAATAATCTTTGCTCATTATGTTGCTAGGCAACCACAGTCTACTCTTAACAATTTACATGGCTTGACAGAAAATGGTTATTGAAATTAAAAATATTGAACATTTAGTTCTTCGTGTATTTTATTATATTGTATTTTGTCACAGTTTTGTAAATGCAATATGCTATGTGAGGTTGAGTGTTACACTGTGTTATTTTACCACACATTTTACTCCGCTTCATGTTTAGTAACACCCCTTAACCATGGAAAATTCTATATTGCATGACCTCTTTTGGCTTATTGCCTTATTATATTATATAAGCACAGTTTTCATTCATCATTTTACTAAACTCAGAACTGAAAACTAATGTTACCATCTATGTTATATGTATAAAATAATGAAGAGTACCTTTGCTCTATGATGTAACCCAGGGAGGTAAGTGTAAGTAATATGTAGCCAGTTATGAGCAGGATGGTCGTCTGAGACAGCAACTAGATAACAGAAACAAAAAGGCAAGAAATGTATCTTTCTGTACAGGGCAAGTGTCTTTGCTCAGCTTCTCTTTAAATTCAACCCACCTAACCTCCTCTAAACTAGCCTGTGAAAAACCCATTACACTAATAATGTGTATCATAAAACAATATGAATGCTACACGATCAGCCGGCATGAGCACACAAGCTACTAATAGCTAACACTGGCTGACCTCTATACTTACAAACTGGCCCCCTGATATACATGAGAACGGCTATAGATGCATAGCTGATGTTTGTAGATCACTGCCTTCAACTCATGTAAGGGGCCTTGGACATATTTCTCCCCTGAGTACCGTGCAGTTCCTCAAAGTTCAAACTCTATTACTCAGAAGTGACCATATGCACTGCAGCTGAGCTAGCGAAATGCTGTACATTGTATCTTTAGCTTGTGTCATACTAGCATGTACTAATAGGGACTCTTATTCCCTAGTTAAAAGCCTGCATGCTCTTGGATCTTGTGGGAAAGGCTACAGAACACACACATGGGACATGAGGACAATACAATAGATTAGAACTTCCAAAAGTCGCAAAAGTGTCAGCATAAATCTTGACTGGAGTTCCTACATTGTTAGAAATAAAGATTCTGTGCAGGTCCATTTTTCATTCATCAAGGTACAAACAATGTAAATGTGCCCTCAAAGGTACAACAGTGGGTTTAAGGTCCAACTGTGTACCCTAAAATAAGTTTTTTCCTAGATGAAAAGTATGTATTTGTACCTTTTTTATAACCTAGTGTTTTAAAACAGAACAATAAAATAAAAAGTCTAGAGACGAGTGTGGATGGGGTGCGTGGAGTTTCAATGGATTACGGTTCAATTACGGTCCCTGACTAAAGGTACTGAAAGGTACCTTGAGGGTACCACCCCAGTGACAAGAGGGGTACTGCCCAGTGACAGTTTCACACCTTTTGTGTAGAAAGTTGAGACATGATATTTCACTGAATCCTTCCAGGAGAAAATGCCAGTTTGCAGTGGTACAGATTTTGTTGTTGATTCATATAATTTGAAGAAATTTAAATTAAACAGAGTTCAGAACATAACATACAGTCATATACAAAAGTTTTGGCTCTCCTGGTCAAATAACATTTTGTTGAAGTAATAACAGTTTTTCGTGTGCTAAGAAGCAGAAATTGTGCACTAAGATCAGGACTGTACATATTAGACTGCTTGCATACAGGGCCATAAACACAATAAAGGACCAACGTGTAATTCCACTGTGGTCTTCTACACGATGTCAGTTTGGAAAAAGTCAGGCTAATTAAAGTGTATTTAAAACTACCCTCTGCTTGTAATTGTTTAATAATGATAATTGGGTGGTAATTTGACAATAGCATAAGAGGACTTTAAATGGGGTTTTGTCTGGTTTAGCATTTATATATCTCACAGTAGTGCAGGGTAAATGAGACAGGAGGCATTATAAAGTCTCTAATATTCCTTGCATTACCTATATGTGACACAGACCAGGTCTCAGTGGGAACTCTGTGAAAACATAGCGAGTCAAGTCTCTGGGGTCTGACTCACATTTTAAATATCCTTTCAGCATGCTAATTTTTAATTTGTCCCGGTATCCCATTTCAAGAATAACACAAAGCAACAGTGTAGAAAAAAATTAACCCATCTGTCTGTTCATTAGTAACTGTAGTCACGGTTGAACTGTGTTATTGTTTCTACGCCTCCCAAGGCCGCCAAGATTAAGTCGTTCACATTATTGTCATTACTACTATTACTTTCAACACCGCAAAGTGGCTGGTAATCTAGAACCTTGGTTCTGCTGAGTTGAGCAATTAGCATTTCAACAGCGGTCAGTTCATGCAGCCTCCATAATTAACAGCTAGTCAAACAACTAGCAAGATTTATGGTCCAGTATGGGTGATGCAATTGAGAGGTAACTCAGCTGGCCCGAAAACTAAATGTTTTCTTTGCTTTGATGTGCCACTAAGCTGTGCTGTAGCATCACTTGTCACTGCAAATAAATGTGTACCGAACATGGAGGTATAAATACACACTTTGACGTTATTTATTGCTTAGCCTGAAGGCTTTATTTTGCTATTTTTCCTGGAAAGGATGATTGATGCAACAGGAAGGGTTTTCGGGTGATGGGAAATGGCTGACTTGGCTCTCAGACCGTTTGTATTGGTTGTTGGACCACCTATGGCTGCTTTATTGGTTGGTAAAAGGGAGGGACAGCGGGAGAGGATACTTCTCAGTGAGCCACAACTGAGAGAACGCCACAGAGGTAGGAATCACAGGAAGACAGGACGTTTCATTTCAGCAGGGAAGCAGGGTGGGTCCACACATTTTGGCTAACCAAAACTATGCCTGGGGAACACACACTTCCAATGATACCAATAGGAGGACACAGGGTCTCTGTGTTTTTGTTGGGGGGGGTGGGGGGTTGGAAGTGAGATGGAAAATAATAGACAAAGGTTATTTAAAAGCAGGCTGTCTCTATATTCTAGTGAAAGGCCTAATTATAATTGAGATAATGAGAGGGAGAGCCTGAGTCTGACTGAGCTTTGATAATAGACCGTGTGTACTAGTATTAAGCACAGAGCAAATTAAAAGCTTCAAATGAACCAGTAAAGACAATGAGAGATTAGCATAGGCATGAAAGCCTTAACATAAGCAAAGGTTTAATCTTTGTTGTTCTACCATCAACATTTAAGGTAAATCAAAGTGATGTGATGGGGTATATTACATAAGCCTTTGATACTTACACACTGTGTTGCAAACAAGTCATTGTAAACACCCAGCACAAGCAGGAACTGTATGTGCACATAGGCTTGCAGTCCAAGTGACCAGACTGGATTGTGTGGCACTTCCTCTCCTGTGACCTATAAAAATGAATAATGCTCCATTAAAGTTTAGTCTGCTTATATACAAGATTATGATCAAAACACTGATGTAAACACTTGCCTCCCAATGAAAGCAATGCACAGAGGAACTGCAAAGGCTTTGTGTTAAAATGATAAAGACCGAGGCTTGCTAACTGATATTACTTGTTTAGATTGCCATGCAGTACCATGTTATACTTTGTATAGCGGTATTTCAGTCAAATTAAAGTGTGGCTGTTGCTTTAAGATTGCGGGCCAGCCATAGAACAGTGCTTTCTGGCAGCTTACCAAAAGAGCATGAAAAGACTTGCACGTAGCATCTCAACTGACCCCTCATCTGACTTACTCACTGGAAGCCTAGTTACACATTCAGACAGACGAGAGATTCAATGTCTAGACAGTAAACTGTATTTATCGTTTATACAGTCCAGTTAGTAACACTTAAATTCAGTGGAAACTAAATTTAGTATGCTTATGTCTCTATTATACATGTTTAAAAGTGGTTTATATGGTATACTGTACGGATATATGGAGATAATGGAGATAAGTGACTCATGCAAAGGTGAACCGATTAAATGATATGCTTTGTTGATTTTGTCTTCACTTCTGCACATTTAATGCAATTACTGTTTATTTGCTGAATTTAATGTACTGAAAAAAGTACAAATAAAACATGGCCTGTGCAAAAGATTCCTTTTTCCAATATGTTCAAAATCAGTCTTATATCTTATATGTAGTATACCTATTATATGTTATTTAATTATTTTGTTTCGATATTTATTATAAAAACGTATACATGTTATTTACATTAAAAATTACAAAGATAATTGTCTTAAAAAAAAATGGTTTTAACTTTCAGTGTAAGTCATGTTAGACCATTTCTGTTGGTCCATTCATCATGAAAATTTGACACAGTGTAAAAGGCAGCTGGCGCTTTCAAAAAAAAGTTATAGTATAGTGAATATATATTTATTTATTTACTTGCGATGTGTCATACCATAAAGTCATTGTGGTTTCTCAAGCATTCTTGAGGTTCTCTCATGTGCAGCCACATGTTGGTTAGCCCCAGCAGCTCCAGCAGTGTGCACTGTTCTGCTTTACCTCAAAACTCAACTCATCCAACCTGACCTCCATTCTCTACAGGAGTATGAACAGGCACGGCCCAGCTCTCCTCGTCCCGCACCTTTCAAAGGTATTTCGGTGAAATTCCAGCACTGCCACATGCTCAGGATCACCAGGGCCCTTTTTAGGGCTGCTTTAATTGCAACGCGGAGTGAGAGGCTTTCTGTTGCTTGCAGTGTGAATGGCTAAATATGAACCACACTCCCCATTTCAAAGCAGACCACTGCTGCTCCTGATGAGGAGACTTCAAACCCCTGTCGCCCAAGAAGTGGGCCTGGCATTTGATGTAGCCCACAAACCCTTGCTTTTTAAAAACAAGTGAAAATTGAGCCTATTGTGCTTCACTTCACAAAGGCATTTAAAACTTATTTTGGCACAGAGTTGTAAAGCCTGCCTTTTTCATGTTGGGAGGAGGTCATGTTCAGGACTTTGCTGCTGAGAAAGAACTGCACACTGCAAAAAATGATTACTTGGCAAGATAAATCAAGACAAACCAAATTGTTGCAATAATATTTGAAAATTATTCAACTTATTTCTAGATATTGTTCCTTATAAGTAATTAAATCTAGTGAAATTATTGCACTCTATTAGCAGATAATTGTGTTTGTTTCAAGCATTACTTAAACATTTAAGCAGCGGAACAAAAGGGATTGTGTTCTCACAAACACTGATCAAAATTTTGAGTGCAAAGTAAAGAAAAAAGTAAAGCAAAGAAGGCCTGAACATTTTTTCATATGAAATCCCTGGTAAAATTACTTTTTTTTTTTTTGTGACAATAACACGTCCTCTACTCAGAACACACTTAAATTTGACATTTTTCTGCAGTTTTTTAGCACAATTATTCTCTACTCTCACAACTATTCACTAAGTGTAACATATTAGAAAATGCTACATTTTATGTTTTTTTATGTTCCCTAATATGTTAGGGTAAAATTATTAATGACAGTAATTTTGCATTAAAATGTAAAGGAGTGTGTCCTACGTAGAGGATGCGTTGGATTATTTTCACTTTAAATAAATTTGAAAAAAAATATATATATATTTTATTTTTCATATCATGTATTATGTTTATGTACCAAAATTAAAATTTTGGTCAAAACCGAAATCAATATTCAGGACAAATGTGGCCGAAAACTAAAAAAGTGAAACAAAGAATGTACCCGTGAAATCCATGTCCAGACAACACAGAATGGTTGATTATTCAAGACAATGAATTCCATTCATTTTTACTGTTACTTTGCTCTGCATTTGGCACTGCCATTTATGAATTTTTCATTATTTAAAAATGTGGCTACAGATATCAGCAGCATGCTAATGATCTTTTTTTTTTTTTCTGTTGTTTTGGTTTATTCTGCATATTGTAAAGGGTGTCATGTTTTTAAGTGCTATCAAAGCTGTAGTGGAGAAGTTCTTCAGTGTTGTACTGAAGTGTTGATCAGAGATTACCAACTACCAATATCCCTTAAAGAAGCTGTGAAATAGTTCTACATGGTCATCGCTGTAGGAGAGTGAAGGAAAAAAAAACTTTATTCACTACTTCTCATCTTTATTAACATTAAAATGTTAACATTAAAATGTTGGATTACGGTACTTTATTGTAGACCTATTTAAACTTCTGGCTTCATTTTTTGGCCAAAACTTTCAGCCTTTTTCTCTTTCGGCTGAAAACAGAAAGTATTGTTTTTGTCTGAAATGTCGCGGTGGCTGAAATTTTGGTGCATCCCTGGTTTTTAATTACTGGCCAAAAAAAGTAGTTCCAGCAGTTGTGGGTATTAACAACCACTACTAAGTAGCAACTGGCAGTTAGCTCTGTAAGGTATGGTAACCAAACGTACTGTTATCAGATCTAACAACACGAGTAGAGCATTTTTTAACCAATCAGATAGTGTAGTCTGAACAAACCGTTGTATAAATAACAACACAGAACATGCAGATTCAGCATCTGGTGTCGCTTAAATGCCTTGGTTGTAAAGTTGCAATGTTGCTAGGAACCAAGCTTTTATGAAAGCACAGATTTTTCTTACTATTGGCACTTCTGCATGGTCCCCCAGTCTAGGCTTCCCTGGAGCCCAGCTTGGTCCTTTAAAGATGATGGACAATTTGTGTCCAATGCCGTCAGCTTTGAGGAACTGATCCCACAGGTAAGAGTAGTAATGAAACTTTTAGAGAAAAAACAAAACAAAGTGACAAAAAATCAGATTGAAAATTGTTTCAAAGAAGTAAAAAAGGTAAAGTAAAAGACAAACATTATTCTTATTGCTTGTGACACTGAATCCAGATTTGAAATGTTTCTTTTCACAGATTAGACTGCACTCGCAGTCCGTTTCCAGAGGTGAGTGCAGAGAAAATAATCAAACGCAACTTCCATTTTGTCTCTGCCCGACTCTTTCACCTCTCCGGAGTGGTTTGTTTAAAGTCGAGTAATAATGTTATGGTTACAGTGTAGCTTTTCCACTGGTGGGGAAACGTAAGGAGAGCAAAGGCAGCGGAGAACTCAGAGCACATATTTACATTTATCCTGACATTCTGAGATTGGGGCTGTACGCTTTGCTGCAAGTCATTATAAATGATCTACTCATTTACTACAATGTTCATATTTAAACAGAGGGACTTTTCTTTTACATTTATAGAGGTTTCAATACAATACAGAGAGAGAGTAATCACTTTATTGTGGGTACTGCAGTGTTTGGTGGATTTATTGCAGCAAGCAACTGTAACAAAGCAAATAAAAAGTTATTCAGACGTCTATGTGGCTCATAGAAAACAGCACGTGAATTAGACCAAGCAAACAATTTGTATTCAAGTAATATGCATAAAACTGAACCAACCTGAACAGAGAGGATATCAAAAGTGTTAATAGGGTGTGTGAGTCCATACACAACTTTATCACCTTCTGGAGTAAAGGTTCCTTCAAGAGAAATGAAAGAGAAAGCCATTAGAGTCAAGAAAACCATTAAGTACAAGATAATTATTTTTCAGGGTCAGGGAAAAAGACAGAAAACATATATTTAACACAGCAGCCTCAACAACTAAATATAAAATCATTTTTCAGTGCGCCCACTCTTTGCCTTTATTACTATTAATATTATTATTCCTTTCTTTTCGGGAGACTTGATATCAGTTTGGTTGCACAATCCAAGTTGGTTTCTCACAATCCAAGTAATCCCAAACACACTCAAAGATGTTGAGTTCTAGGCTCTGAGGTGGCCAGTCTATGGGGTTAATTTTGTGCCAAATGTTTCAAATAAAATAATAAATTCCACAAGCAGAATATTAGGAAACAAAATGTTCAAAATATGTTGCAGTTACAAATAATGACAGTTAAATAAAAATTTTCAAAAAGATTATAACTCATTTTGTCACTCATACATATAAATGTATTACTTATTTTGCTAGTCTTTGCTTGCATGTTTTTTTTTGATGATTTTACTGATACAATTTTGCTTTTGGAATCTTTTTTTTGCTTTTGACTAGGTGCTGTCATGATCATGAAATTTTAGCTGACAATTAATTGTCATTTTAATAATTGCCATCGGCAATTTATCTTGTTTAATTTAATTTAATTTAATTCTTGTTTCATTGTTTGCAGCTGCTGAAATACAAGCTTAAAGTGGCCAAATTGGCTATTTAGCCACCTTACTTGCTAGCTATGTTTACTTAGTAGTCTGTCTGTACTGTTGAATCAATACTGAATCAAACCTTTTTTACCTCATTGCCCACCTATTTATGATCAGAAAGCATAAAGGCCCACAGAAAAACAAAACTTTTTTTGCTTAAAAATGTCAAGTGAATTTGTTTACTTTAACTATTTAATAAATTACATCTATGTTTGTGCTACCCTCCCTGCATGCTTTAATTAAGTAGTAAGTAGTATGCAGCATGTAACTTATATTTATTTTCCCAGTACACCAATGATACCCAGATGACGTACCACTCCAGCCAAATATTCCAGCACACAGCCAGAGCCATATACTGCATCCCACAATGCAACACGGCCGTTTCTGGAGGATGTAACCACTTTCCTTTGAACAGTTTAATGGGCCCTGTTACAATCTTATATGGATACATGAATGAAAGGAAATCATTTCTCCTGCTGTGCTCTGTGCAATGTTGAAGCACCATCAGTTCTCTCTGCTGGTCTTGAGGTGAGTTTGCTTACTTTGTCTATTTAATAAAGTCAACTTACTGCATAGATAATGTGCCAGTAACTTAATAAAGTTGGTCTCAACCAAACAATATGCCCAGCATCAGTTTTTCAGGCTTATGTATGGAGTTACGCTGCTTATTATTCAGTCAATTTAGCTCTTATTAACAACTACAAATGTAATGAAAATGAACTGACTCACAAATGGAAGAAAGCAGGTATGTCTGGAAACCACACAGGCTTGTCACACAGACAAATCCAAAGCTGACATTTTTTTTTAAGATTTTAAGACTTTTGGCTTTGGAGATGGGTAGAAAACAAAACCCCCACCCCATTGTGTCACGCCTCCTTGCAAAACTCAGCAGGCCCTTTTCTTGACCAAAATACATCCACATGTCTTGCAAAAGACCTGACCTGAAAAAAAGCTGAAAAGTGGCGAGCAACAGTCGCTAAGCAGTGTTTGGAGGGCTAAGGAAAACAGGGTGAAATCAGTTTGATTGGTTCAGTTTCTGATGTAGGCAGTCTAATTGTGCTCCTTTCCTGTAGCACAACACAGGGCTTACATCTTATACTTGATACTGTACTGTGTACTACTATGAAGAGAAGCATGCAGTATACAGTATATCCTAATGCAGTACGTAGTATAGTTGTAGGCTAAAATAGAAAGCTTGTCGCAGTGACTGACACTGGAGAGATTCTGTGGGTAGAAAAAAGAAAAGACTGACAACAGCCTCCCTAACCCCCAGATCATAACGGCCAACCAGGACAGGTCATTTACGGCATTTGGCAGACGCTCTTATCCAGAGCAACTTACAATTTGATCGTTTTACACAGGTAGGTGAAGGTAGTGTTAGAAGTCTTGCCCAAGGACTCTTATTGGTATAGGGTAGGGAGCTTACCCAGGTGGGGATTGAACCTCAGTCTACAGTGTAGAAGGCAAAGGTGTTACCCACTACACTATACCAGCCACAGGTCAACTTGTTGTCTGTACTTGTTGTTTGTAGTATTAAATATTGAATTTCTAGCAGCTATCTCACAGCAGCAGTAAGACATAGCTGGCAGTAATCAGTGGTATGTTCCACTCTTTACCATGTTTATGGCTGTGCTATGTTATTTCCCTCGACCCAAAGTACCACAGATTCAGTGATTTCCTTACCCAACACACCTGATCAACTCATGAAGGGGCTTGATAATGAGTTGAATTAGGTGTTACAAGGCAAGGAATAGTTGAAACCTTCTGGAGCTGTTTGGTTGCCAGAAGCAGGGCTAAGAAATACTGATTTAAACAGCTACAAAGCTCGCCTAGTTAGCCCTTTAGCAGGCACTGCTAGGGTAGTTAGTGTTAGCATCTGCAAAACAGAAAGATGGTACAGTTTTATTCAACAGCTGAGTGTATCCAATATACTTCAATTTCCAAACTATATATTTTAAACAGGGGTGGCACTGGACCCTGACAGTGTTACAGCAAAACTGGAAAAATAGAAAAAATAGAGAGCAGTAACTTGCAAATGAGTACTATTTTTATATAAAAATCAGTGAAAATGAGTAATAATCTTTTTAAAAAATTAGGTTTGATTTAACTATCATTGTATTTGCAACATATCTTGGACATTTTGATACTTAACATTTTTCTTGAGGATTTTGTTGTTTTATTTTAAACTTTTGGAACAAATTTAACTCCACGTCCGTCCATTGTTCTGAAAACATGAACAGCTTCTTTGCTTAATTAGGGCTTCTTGACATTCTCAGCAGTATGCTTGGGGCTATTATCTTGCTGTATAGTTAATTTCCTGCTGAGGTTTTTCTGCATGAATTTCCTGCTAAGGTTTTTCTGTATTTTCTGCAAGCACTGCATGATGTATTAAATTTTATTTGCATATAGACCAAAAATGGTCAAACAGTTTGTCATAATACTGTGTTCTGTCACTTTTAAGGATCTCAAATTTACTCATCAGTCTATAAAACCTTATTTTTTGTCTATTTCCTTTTCTCAGCAATTGCTCCTTGAGAGCTACACATGCTTTCAGACTGATAGTGTTGAGTTGTCTCCTCACAATGGAAAAATGGACAGAGACATCTGAACTGAGGCAAGAGTGGAGCTTGATTTTTTTCTCAAAGATGAAAGCTTTATGTATTGTTTATCTGATGGTGGTCTACTGAGTCTTGCATGGTTATCAAAAGTCCCATTTCATCTACATGTTTTAATCATTTTTTGAGCCAGAAATTCTGTTTGTTTTTTTTTTACTTATTCCTTAGACAAGTGGAATATCATATATCTAATCTCAGTAACATTTCCTTTAGCCATGTTGGATGCACATAAGAAAAAAATTCAGCTGAGGTGGTTTGGGTAGTTGCTTGCGTGAATGTTAGAGTCTTTGAAGGTTTGAAGGGGAACATAATGTTGCCGAGTCCTTTGGGAGCAGCTTTTGTTAGGAGGACACAGCTGTAACTTGATTTTACGATTGGAGGGATGGAAGAGTTAAAGTGACAGTAGGGTGCCCAAAAGTAAAGAGTAGACAAATTAAATACTGCTAGATTGGATATCACATTGAGTACTGGAGGTTTCTGTGTTTATGTATGTATACTACCCATCATACCAAAGAGTCGGTCCCAAATAATGAGAGTTCCTCCATAATTCCTGTCAATACAGTAAAGGTTTCGTCCTGAAAAAAAAAAAGACAAACAGAATTCAAATGCTGACACATGGTTGGTACTGATTGTTTTGAGCTGTAAATCGAAGAAGTGCATGCAAAAAGTTTTCACATGGATATCCCATACCATGATGAACTCTGTGATGGCTGGGAGTGTTTAGGATCCATTCGAGAGGACCAAGATCTCTGATGATCTGGTGAAAGAAAGAATTTGTGTCATGTGTTAATCAACAGAGTTGATTTGACTGTTTAGTGTCATGTATACAAGTGAATGAAAAGAAACAACGTTTCGACTGTGAGGCTCCTGCAGTGCCAATCGTTACGCTGCTAAACAGAGATGTAAACGGAGTCGTAGCGTTAGCCTCACACATGTCATTAATCTTTTCTATTGATTGCCTTGTCTTTGCTTTGGCCAACAAGGCTAAGGAGGAATTGTGCAGGACCCAAAAGCTTGTATGGTTCACGTGTTCGCTAATGTAGTCTGACATGAAACATCATTAATTTCAAGTGTTTTCTTGTCTGATGAGCTTGCTCGAAGCTAGGCTATCTATGGAAAGAGAGTGGTGGTCAGATTTCCAGATGGAAACAACAATACAGATTAGAAGTAAAGCAAACACAAAGTTGGAGAGAAATACAAGAGCTTTAAAGAAGCCAAAAAGGCTGATACTTTTCCCTCCCATTCACTTTAACGAACACGAACATGCACAAGCACACCACTACATTTCCCACCACACAACAAGCCATTTTAACTGTACATACAGTTATATGTTGCACAGGTGTTCAGTTTACCCTTAGGTGTTTGACTTGAGTAATGATTCTGATGTCTGAATCTAAACCTCCGAAGGCAACTGGGAACTGTGCACAAGTGAACATGATTTTTCAATGGGCCATTATTTCCATGTAATGAGCAGCCTGGCTGCAGCTGAATTTTATCTTGAATGAAACAAGGTTGCTCTCTGCTTAGTTTGTGTTTTAAAGTTGGATTATGTCTGGGAATTCCATGCCAATAAATTACATGACATCAAAAAAGCCAGTAAAATAGGCATAAATTATATCCTTCAGAAACTCGTGGATGTGAAGACCATTTTCACTAATAGTGCTCTAAAAGATGGAAGTGATTCCAAAGCCGTTCCCCTAAACGACTCCCCAAACTGTAAAACTGATAGCCCAGCTTTTGCTCAAATGGCAAGAGTACGCTTATGCTTCTGTTTGGAATATTTCACAAAAGCTCATTATTTCTTATGGAACACAGGTTTGGGAGTGGGCTGGAAAGTGATATGGAATATAAGCATTTGGAGTTGTTTGAAGTATACAAAAGAACCAATTAAGATCCAATAAGGAATTAATGTTGTGGGAAAGGAGAGAATTAGTCTCATTTGTCTTGACAGCAGAAAACCAGAGAAAGCAATGCCATTATAAAAAAATATTTTTAGTGTTTAGAAGTGTAACACTCTTAGCATACCAGCTGTATCAAGGTACCGCATGCTGCAAATATCTCAAGCCTGAAAATATTAAGGGGGTTCATTAACAGATTATTGGCTTACCTCAGTGTGGATCCAAAACTGGTAGAGCAGGTTAAACTGAATGTGCACAGCAAAGACAGATGGCGGAACTACTAATGCCATTGGAAGGTAGAAAACCTACAGAGAACCAACCTGGGTCACTTCTCACACTAACAATGAAAAATACACAGTGCATGAGTAAGGTTATAGTAGGAACAAAGCACCCTCATCATGTAACACCAGTAAACGTGCTTACAGATTAAACTCATTTTTTAAACTTTCAACCAGCAGATTGTCAAAATTCAACTACATCTACATTAGGTAATAAATGCAAGGATCATGAATGCATGACCATTCTAAAATACTAATTTAAATAATTTTAAGGCTGCTTTAATTATTGATTAGAAACTTTTTTTAATATTATTATTACTCTTAAAACCTTTCAAGCCCTGTTAAGCTTTCCAAACCTTCTTCACTGGTCTAGTTATGCAAAGGTAAGCGGCACTTCAGGTCAAAAGACATTTCATGAGACCGGCAGGAGGAGAAGACTTGAGACCGACAGGAGGAGAAGACTTGTTTTGACTTCAGTGCACATGCAGTGCGGTCATGTTAATCAGGGTTAGTTAGGGAGAGCCTCACTCAGGAACTGGAACTCTTACCCAGGAAGCACACTGCTGGGTGACAGACTGCCGCAGCGCTGTGGTCAAGTTGTAGTACTCTGAGCTGTGGTGAACTTGATGAGCGGCCCACAGAATATTCAGCTCTAAAACACACACAGACAAGGAACTATTACAGTTTAACTTTACACAGTTCCTTTGCTGAACACTGAGTTCTTCAGTGCACAGTTCCTTTAGTTCTCTCTTAATGTGATTTTTCAATGGTAAAAAAAAACATTTTCCCCATTTTCCAATTGTAGACAATTAGTCTAGGCATGTTTGGTGTATGAAGCTTCTTTAGTTTTAGATGAGGCTAATGTAGCTACTAGCTATTATTGTTAGTAAGAATTAATGGACACTTAATCATTTCTCATTAGCACTGTGCAAATTGTGCATGCCAAAATCCCACACTTTTCGCCAGCTGCATAGAGTCGTTAAGTAATTTTGATTCGATTCATCATACTGGGTTCATGATTCAATATTCTTGTGATATTCTGGATGAAATTCAAATGAAGAATAATCATGTTGTTGCACATCTTACTAACAAGAGTTGGGGGGGCAGAAGGAGTGCTGGAGTGAGGGTGTTGACTGGTGCTGACAGTTTGCACTTTTCAAACAATGCATTAGATTTTATGATTAATAGAATTTCCATTCTCCACAATGCATGTTGTCATAGTTGTGCATTTTTTTGTGAAATCACAGTATCATAATGTATTGTTAAGTTACTAGAATATATGCTTTCTGACACTGTATAACACACTGTAAAAAAAGACAAAAGAAGACAAAATTCAGACTTTAAAATGACTGCAGATTCTGCTTTTTTCTATGCAAAGTACCTCTGTCAATTTGTATAAGCAAGTCTAATTGAGAACACCTAACAACTCACCATGGTTTGTGACAAGATGCAGTTTGCACAATGCTAACTGGTATTTTCAGCATATTTAATAACTTACAGTGCAACATTTAACACTAAACATATCTTGGCTGATTGACTGCATTTGTGGCAACGGGCAAATAGAGATTTTTTTAGCTATTGGTTTAACTGTGAACCACAGAAACCTCTGAGTATGTCCACTTTCAGACAACAAATGAATGTGTTTGTACTGCCTGGACAGCATTGCCGGTACCTTAAATGTGACTTGGATGAATGACAAAGATGAGCGAAGTTTGGGCCTGCCACTGATGTAATAAACCACAGTAAAAGAACATGGCCTGTTGAGCAATCTCCTGGTTGCATTACAACAGTTTATGCTCTTCTGTTTTGTTGTGATTTCTGGAACATTAATCTTTGTGTTGGCCCTTGTGCACATCCACAGAACCATGCCTGCTAAGTTTCAAGGGACTCTGAACTATTCTTGTTCCACCTTGTCCATATGGTGTTTTTTGGTGAAGCTCACATTACTGGATTGACAGGAAATTAAGAAATGAAGCAGAGCATTTTAGGCATATCTGATTCTGCTGGATCAATATTACTGCTTTATCATTGCACAATACACGTGCTATCAATGAAACAATATTAGAAACACAATGTTTTCTCACTGAATGGATACCTTATAAGATCGTATGTCCCCTATATTAGTGTACAATTACACACTCTCTACTCCATGCATTTTTTGTCAGTTTCTGACCACAGGAAACGCCTTCTGACCAGACATTGTTTGAGTGGAGATCCACTGTTACAGCAGCGACACTGACACAGTAGTGACGTGGTAGTGTGTATGGTGCTGGTGCTGCTGGTGTTTTTACATATATCAGTGTCACTGCTTGGTTAAGTGGTGGTTAAAAAGCCAACAACGCTAAAAGCCAAGAACAGCTCTGTGGTCAGAAATTGACCCCTGATGAAGGCCTGATGATAAATAACACAAACCGTGAAACAACAGATGAGCTACAGCTGACTGCACACCAGCAAAGCAGAGGTTTCAAATAAAGTGGCCCGCTGGTGGCTGTTGTCTGAAAAAAAGGGGTTAATATTTGTATAGATGTCTAATACAGATAAATTTCACATGTCCCTTTCAGTTATTTCTTTGTCCAAATAGGACCTGCTGCTTCAGTGCCTGCTTCAATGAGTGCTGCTTCAACGTGAGCTCCATTGAAACGGATAGCCCAGCGAGTAGTCTCTCACCAGCTGAACAAACAGAGAGAGCTGAGAGTGTAAGAACGGCTCTCTATCCTCTCTCTCTCTGCCCTCCAGCAGCCAGCGGCACCAGGCCAAGATGTCAAAATTACCTGGCTAGAGCCAAGCTCAGGGGAGAGCACCGCACAATTTCCATTCAGAAAATTTCATCAGCCACACCACTGACAGCATGCTGAGCAGCTAGACTTATAGTCAAGGATACATGCCTCAGTTCCAGTTTGGATGGGTCTCTGGTGTGTGTGCGCTTCATTGATATTATACGACACTGTCATTGGAACGACATGCTTTTTTATTTGTTTAATAATTCACCAACCTACAAATGTGTTTTAACAAAATTGGTCTAAAAAGTGCTGCATGCTTCTACACAATCAGATGATACTCTTAAATATGTTAGCACATCCTTTAATGGGAACTAATTCAAATATTGCATTTTCATTAAAAAATACCGTACAATTTTGTTTTTACTGGAAAGAAATAAAACATAAAATATAAAATGTGCCATAACTTGGCAAACACTACATTTTATGTATTATGTTTTTACCAATATGTTAAACAACTGCATTAAAATGTGCAGAAAAGTGTTCTCTGTAGAGGATGTGTTAATTTATTTTCATTTAGAAAATCAACAAAACATTTAAAGTGACCCTGGGGGGGGGTCAAATATTTTAGCAAAAATACTTCAATGGCAATAGAAGTGATGCTAATTAATTATTAACTTGCTATTTATTAACTGTTAAGGCACAGTCAACAAATGGTCATCATTCAGTAAATGGATGTTGAAAATGACTGCATAGCATACAGGCAGGGTTAGGGGTTCTTTCTTTTTTGTCATCACTGCATCACTGCAACTAAATAACTATCTGTTTGGGGGTTAATTAGAGTCATAAAATGTATGAGAATCATAGAAAGAAATCTGGGAGCTCTTTTGCAGCTCAGCCATTCTGGATGAGGGGATATGGGTATAAACTGAATGTTGATAACAGGCAGAAATGTATTCTCATATGAGGTAAGCGAAGGCTCTGCCTTAGACGAAAGAACGTAGATGTGCTTATTCACTCCAACAGGCGTTCTGTTTTAGCTTGCGATGATGAGGCTGTATCACCCGTTTATGAGACTTTCACAAAGAAGTGTTTCTCAAAAATATGTTATCAGTAATATAAGCTTTGTACTATTTTTCCACAACTATACCAGCCAAAATGAACTTGCTTAAAGTCAGACAGTGGAGAGGACATTGCTCCCACCCCACCCCACCCAATTTTGCACTAGTGTTTTTATAGCTATGACTGCGAGGCTGAACAGGATTTACAGAACACTGCTAAAAGCCCCATTCAATCCCATTCAATCTAATGAGTTCAGGCTTCATTATATTCAACACACTATACTGAGTCTCCAATTTAAAGCATTAAGCTACCAACCTGGACTATGTTGTTGTAGCTGATCAAAACCACAAAGAATTTGCCACAGTGCTAATGTTAGCTTGATTACACAGCAAAAAAAACAAGACCTTTCCATATTTTGAGAAACGTTCAATAAAGCTTGTCCATCCTCAGAACAGCTGCTATGAAAGAATGGAGCAGAGCTAGGTCAGTTGATGCAAAAAAAAAAAACAAAAAAGAACTTTTTTTTACTGTTGGTTATTGCTAAAATTTTGGCACCGTTGAAAGTGTTGAGTTATAGCTAAGCTGTCCGAAAGGTTTTGATCGATTGAGTTGATTTCCTCCTAAAACTTTCCAACAAAGTTTTGTCAGCAGAGCGATCATTACACCTGGCCCCGGTCAGGTTGATGGATACATTCCACAGTCGTCTACCATGCAAGTCATTAACAAAGTGTCTGCATAGGCAAAAACCATTCCATTACACTTTCCAACCACTGAGTCTATCACAGTAAGAGGCTATCGGATGAAAGTTCTATCAGAGAAGCACACACTGGCCATTGTTTGATAGTGCGCATGAGCCGGTGCTTTCCCTACTCAGAGTGGAAGAGAGGAAGATTGATGCGGGGTGTCACTGGTAGGAAGTATGTACAGCTAGGCCTCATTGCAATCCATGTCCTTGCGCGCTGGGCTCGGCTGGACGCTGCATAGTTTGGCAGCCTGTATTCAGAGGGGAAGCGCTTTAATGATGAGAACCGATGCCATAGAAAGCCTTTCCCACCAAGCCTGAGCAGTCAGGCCTGCACACAGACCCAGAGCTTTTCTGTACAGATGAGGGCAAGCTGCACTTAGGCAGCACGGCAACTCATGTGGACTACTCAATGGACAAAAAAGAGTTCTGGTGTGGTCAGAAAATGCTGAGCCTTTTCTGCTGAATATACTCTTATTAAGAATCTCTTCAGAGGAATAAACACATTCACACATGTTATAAAGATAACAATAGGCTTTAGTAAAGCATAAGTGCTGCATTTGCATTAGTAATCACTAGAAGTTATCACTGTCATTTTTCTATACTAAATGCATTATATGCACTATATTACATAATAATATGAGTAATTATGAGCAGTATATAGGGCTGTAAAAGTTATCATGTTAATAACACTTTCACATGATAAATTAACACCATTACATCAGTAATGCACTGAAATAAAAATTCCTGGCTGAAGTCAAAACTAAAATTCAAGCCAAAAACTGAAAACTGAAAGAAAGGTTGGTGCTTTATTTATGTTTTTTGAAAATACGTACTAAACATAAAACCTCTGAGGTAATAAAGAAAATGCACTTTTATTATTATTAATAAAAATAAAAAATAAATACATAAAATATATTTATTGAAACGATTACAGTATGTTGGCTACAGTATGTACCACAAAATCCAACATCCTCAACAATAGAGTACAGTTGGTCATTCAAGGCAATGAATTCCATTAATATTTTTGCACTTTGCACTGTCTGTTGTTTGTGAATTTTTTCAGATGCCATTGTTGTGCTAGTGGGGACTTTCATATCCACTTCCGTTGTTTTGCTGTATTCTGTTGGC